CAGCAAAGCCTCGTCTTCTTCAGCTGCCCTAGCCGCAGCTTCTTCAGCAACTCTGGAGGACCCTTCTCCACCTTCACAAGCTTCAATAACCCGTGCAACCTCTTCGGCTGTACGGGCAGCTTCAGCTTCTTCTCCCAGCAGCTGAAACAAGGGATCTCTCTTCTTCCACCAAGGCTTCTGCCTCTGATACAGAGCAACAGCCTCAATTTGGAAGTGGGAAGAGTCTAGGTGAACCTCTCGGCGCCTTGGTTCAGTGATAGGGGGAGCCCGATCAGTTACGACTCGTTCTCGGTTGACGCCAAGGCGAGCGTAATCAATGCCGACGTTGGTCTCGTCCCGTTCTGAAAAAGAAAAGGGGAGAAGTCAATTCTGTTAGTTCGGCACATCACAAGAAAGCAAAATGAAAGAAGAAAAGAGATAATTAAAAGGCCTCGGCCCCAGCCGAAGAAGATTACCATCCCTAAACTTTCGGCTGAGGCCGACAGCTGCCAGCATATTCTCTTGGAAAACATAGTGCGTATCGGGGAGCCAAGTCTCCGGGATATGCTGCATTCGGCCGCTGCCTCCCCGGTTCGGCAGCTTGCCGAAGATGTTCTGCTGATTAAGGTTCGGGTCTGGCCCGCTATCTTTGGGAGGACCTAAACTTCCCATATCAGGATCCGGCTCGGCAAGATACCGGGGAGCGCTGAAAACGTAAGGGTGGCTCGGCTCCGTGGGTGCCCTAACCCAAATCCATTGACCTCTCCAGTCCTTGTCTGAAGAGTCGTTCGGCCACATGGTTAGGAACGGGGGCCGAGACTCAATCCGATACCACCCAGAGCCATGGCATCCGTGCCCACTTTGAATGTTTGGCACTAGCCGATGGAGCCTTTTGAAGCAATGCAGGTTCGGCACGTACCTGAAGAATTTGCAGACCCATAAGTACGTCATTACCCTTCGGATGCTGGTGGGGGTCAGCTGGCACAGGGAAATGTTGTAATGGATCAGCAAGTCTCGGACGAATACGTCCAAAGGGAACCTCAGCCCGTACTGGAGTTGTCTTGTGTACACCCCCACATACCCCGGGGGTGGACGGTGGATTCTATCGGAGGCCGTGGGCATTCGGCACCAATACCCATCGGCTTCAAGGATGCCGTAATGCAACTCAATTTGCTCGGCAAACCGGTACTGATCAGCATTCTCCACCCACCATGAGTAGGGGCGGTTCTTTATCATGGCCGAAGCTACTTCGGCATCCTCCCACTCTGAAAACCCTGGGAGGATATCCCAAAGGACAGCGGGAACTTCATCATCCCGTCCTGAAGCGCTCACCCCCTCAGCCCTCTGAGGAGGAGCCGAAGAAATGGGAGTCGCCCTAACCCCTTCAGCAGGGTCAGACTCTGTCCTTCGTCCATTCCAGGTCCCAATCCTGTCCCTGGGATCGGGGATTAGCCTTGCTCTTCTTGGAGCACGGGCTCCACCTCTAACTCCCCTCACCATTGACGAATTTCGAAGGAAAAAGTCGAAAAAGGGGAAAGAGTGCAAAGTCGAAGAAAAATGAAATAAAATCAAAGGAATTTACCTTGATCTGAAGCAAAAGTCGCCGATTTACGAATTGGTAGTGACAAGTCTCAGCTTCTAAGCTTAATGCTCGGGGAATTTGCGAAGTTTTGATGCGGGCTCTTGAGCGTTCTTGAGAATTCTGGGTTTGTGTTGATGAATGAGTGGGGAGAGAAGACGCGCCTCTATTTATATCTCCAGAAATGGGAATTCAAGGAGTCTGCGTTTCAATTTCTCTCAAGCACCCCACTAAGTAACCGTTAAACACACGACCTTGCAGTTAAATCGCCCACTACCCGTCCAACTTCCGCAATTATCCACATTAACTGTTGTTATCTCATTAATCATGGGTTAATTACGGTTTAAATTCACATTTTTGGATTAACAAATCATTCACTTCCCTCCTTTTCTGATTAAATCAAACCCGACCCGTCATCCTTCCAAATCGGGTCTGGGGGGCAAGTTGTTTGGGTCCAATTTAGTCCAATTGGGCCTGGTCACTGAATGATCCAATTAAAAGCCCAAGGTTAAGGTTCAACTCTCCAAATGTGCTAAAGTCAAAAATCAACATCCTCAAAGCCATGTCAAGGTCAGTCAACGGCCCAATCAGCTTGGCCCAGCCCAACTGACTTCCGGGCCCAATCCGCCTCCTTCATTAGCCAAGGTATAAAAGCCAACAATTTGGTCAATTCTTGGTAAGACAATAAAGCCTCAAGCAACTAAACTCTTGCACAGCTTTCTCTCTCTAATATACTGACTTAAGCATCGGAGGGGCCTTCCTCGGCGTCCCCCCCGAGGCTAGTTTACGTGTATTTGTTGTGCAGGAAACCCTCGGCTCCTGCGTCGTTCGGACCGAGACCAAGTTCCCTCAAGATAAAAGGATCTTCCGAGATTCGATTGTTTTCATCCGAAACACATTCTAAAGCCAACAAAACACATCTGCCAAACAAGGTCAAACTAATAATCCAATCAGATAAGTCATATAGAAAACATCGATGAATTATAATACATTAATGTCTACTGGGCTATTATAAATCAAATAATTAAATATGGTAGATGGATAGAAATGTACTTGTAATTACTATTATAGGTGGTGGATTTTTAACTTTTTTTTTCTTCTATAAATAATAATACTCATAATAAAAAGAAGAAAAAAAAAGATGTGCTTGGATCTAATTGTAAAATGATTTAGCTAGTGCCATAGAGTATAGACGGTATCGCGTTCCCACAAGGGTAGGATGATATTGATATAATAAATGATTAGCGTAAAATATAAAAAGTCAAAGCATGTTTTAAGGGAGTACTTATTAGAGCACTCATATTAGTGAGCAAAAAAAAATTGTTCATTCTCTCTCTAGCCACTTTCTCTCTCTTCCCAACCAAATTTGCTCATGAGCATTTTTGGTGAGGAAATTTTATCTCACTAGTTATCAAAAAATAATTGAATTGCTCATGAGCATATTTTATTTTGCTCATTGATGTAGTAACATTTCTATCATTTTTGCTCATCAATTTTGGATGAATGCTGGGGCCACGACATTACTATTCTTCATGAAATTTGCTCATCCTATGAGCAAATTGTGAAATGCTCATGAGCATTTTTCATTTTCCTCACTGATGTAGTACCATTTCTACTAAATTTGCTCACCATTTTTGCTTATGAGCAAAAAAATGCTCACTGATGTGAGTGCTCTTAGTACTAGTTGTACGTCCTTGGTGTTTGTCAGATATTTTAATACTGTACATATGGACTATTCCGTATTCTGCATGCATGAGCCATGTACTACTTGCATCTTAATTAATCTTCATGCGACCAAACCAGGGAGCAGCAGCTCAAATGCCATATGGTTTTTTTTTTTTTTTTTTTTTTTTTTTTAATTATCTTCATCTATCTTTAATCTCCTAATTAGCACCATTATTATTCATCTCCATAATTCTTAACAATACAGCAAATTAAATGGCTTTCTTTCCATTATTCATAATGTTTTTGTAGAGTTCATCAATTTTTTAAAGTTTATAATCTACATAATAGTCTACTTTGGGGATCGATCTAATAATGAGCTGTACTATTTGTATCTTTGTCAAAATGTCAACTACGATCTCCATACTCCAAGACCAAGCTAGACATATATTGGTTGTGTATATGCATGACTCCTTTCTTGTCTGCATGTTCTTATTTTATTTGTGAATGTCTCACAAAAATTCTTAAACATGGAGTATATGAATAATATCTCACCTACAAGTATATTTATTCATATATTTGAAAAAAAGGATAATCAAAATTAAATTACGTGCTTTTGAAAAAATGAAATGGATCGGAGTTAGTGTAGTTTAGTAACCAATATTCTATACCAAAATGAAGTTGTTAAACTAGCGCAACCACTCTTAGGTCTAGCAATAAACTTTGATTTTGTACAAAAAAAAAAAAGGTTTGTTTTTATTTTCATTTTTAGACAAATCACGTAACACTCCCTTGCTAGCTCCATCCGATAAAGGTTATTGTCCCATTTATCTTACTAGGTGTTGCACAACTTTAAGTCTATAATGGCTATATTTTGATAGATATGCATCGCCACCAATTCCCTTGCCACAAACGTGCCATTTTTTCCACCCTCTTATCACAGCCACTGGCCACTCCACCAACTAACAAGGCAACGAGCCACCATCCACTGCACCTAGCCAAAACCCACCAATTTCTTTCATATCTAGAACGGTTAACAATAATATAACCTAATAATTTTCTTCTATTGGGCTTGAGAAACCCTATATATTTAGAAGGCTAGAGAAATTTGACCATCAACATGCGTTGATATATACTTAAAAGAAATAAATGGACTCATGTGTGATCTTGTTAAATCGATCTATTTTATTATATTGTTTTAGCTAATTAGATATTCATAATTTTATTAAAAAATAGTTAATTACAGATTTAGTTGCTCAAAGATTCTTTAAAAGTATGAAAATTGAGTAAATAGAGCAAACAGTAATGTCATCAAGGAACATATTAGGGAGCAATAGTTCACGAGTGTTGAATTATTGATGAAACAATAGTTTTCGAGCATTGGATTATTACCATGATTAATTATATAAGTGGGCATTCCCACAATTGATCATTTAAATCAATGAAGGCCGGGACAAAAAGTACGCTTAACCATTTATTATACGCTCTCTTGTGGATTGTTTGATTTATGTTGCCATCCAAACAAATTGTTTGAATAGAAGGCCGGATATTAAAAGATCACAAAGATACTTACTAAGCTAGTAAGCTACTACTAGTATAAAATTTGTAACTCACTATAATTTAAAGTAAAACTTAAATTGCAATAATAATTCCGGTTAACTTTTCCTAAAAAAAAAAGTAAAATTTAGGTTAGATTTGCTCGCATACTTTTAGCCAAGGAGAACAAATGCCTTATATTATAGTCTTTGTATATACCAAATTGTAAATTTATGAAATTTGGAAAGCAAATTAAACTTGGATAATCCAATAGCCACAATCTAAAATAGGAGAACGACATGGCCTTGGATTGTTTTCGATAGAGTTGCAAATCAACCAATCAAATGAATTATCCAAAACTCCCTCTCTCTCCTCACCTCTCTTCCAAAATCATCTCACATTTTCACTGTAAATCCCTTTCTTCCCTCTTCTCCAATTCACAAAATCATGGTGTTTCGGTTGAAAACAATGGGACCTTGCCGAAGGTCCACTGAAATGGAGAAGACTGGATTCGATCCAAGCTGTGTTGGGCCGAAGGTTTCCTGCACAGTGAACACACGTAAACTAGCCTCGGGGGTGTTTCCGAGGAAGGCCCCTCCGATGCTAAAGTCAGTACAATGTGTAAAAAGGAAGACACTATGCAAGAGAGTTTGTAGCTTGAGGCTTTTGTGGAGTATTTCTCAATGCAAGAATGAGCATATGAGTTGGAATAATCGGTGTATGAGATAATGCATGTGATGTTGTGTCTGATCTCGTATATCATGTTGAATGTGTTAATATGAGGGCTTTTATACCTCATCATACTTGGAGAGGTTGGGCTTTAGCCCAATTGGCTTACTTTGTGGGCTGACTTTTGACTTTTGAGCAATTGGAGAGTTGAACCTTGACCTTGGGCTTTTAATTGGATCATTTAGTGCTCAGGCCCAATTTTGACTAAATTGGACCCAAACAACTTGCCCCCCAGACCCGATTTGGAAGAATGACGGGTCGGGTTTGATTTAACTCAGAAAAGGAGGGAAGTAAATGATTTAATTGATCCAAAAATTTGAATTTGAATTTAAACCGTAATTAATGAGATAACAACGGTTAATGATTTGCGGAAGTTGGACGGATAATGGGCGGTTTAATCACAAGACATGTGTTTAATGGTTACTTAGTGGGTACTTAAGAGAAATTAAAGCACAGACTCTTCGTATCCCGTACCTGGAGATATAAACAGAGGCGCGTCATTCTCCTCACTGATTCACCAACACAAACCCAGAATTCTTCGAGAGAGAATCCAAGAATCCGTATCAAAACTTCGCAAATTCCCCCGAGCATTGAGCTTAGAAACTGAGACTTGCCACTACGAACTCGTAAATCGGCAACTTTCGCTTCAGATTAAGGTAAATTCCTTTGATTTCAGTTTATTTTTCTTCGAATTCGAACTCCTTCCCCTTTTCTTTCGACTTTTCTCTTCGAAATAGTCCATGGCAAGAGGAGTTAGAGGTAGAGCCCGTGCTCCAAGAAGAGCAAGGCCGATTCCCGATCCTAGGAATAGGATTGGGACCTGGAATGGTCGAAGGCCGGAGTCTGACCATGCTGAAGGGATTAGGGCGACTCCCCTTTCCTCGGCTCCTCCTCAAAGAACGGGTGAGCCGAGTGCTTCTGGACGGGACGATGAAATTCCCGCTGTCCTTTGGGATATCCTCCCTGGGTTTTCAGAGTGGGAGAATGCCGAAGTCGCTTCGGCCATGATAAAGAACCGCCCCTACTCATGGTGGGTAGAGAACGCCGATCAATATCGATTTGCTGAGCAAATTGAGTTGCACTACGGCATTTTTGAAGCTGATGGATATTGGTGCCGAATGCCCTCAGCATCCGATAGAATCCATCGTCCACCCCCGGGGTATGTGGGGGTGTACACGAGACAGCTTCAGTATGGGCTGAGGTTCCCTTTGGACGTTTTCGTCCGAGACTTGCTGATCCATTACAACATTTCCCTATGTCAGCTAACCCCCACCAGCATCCGAAGGGTGATGACATACTTATGGGTCTGCAAGTTCTTCAGATACGTGCCGAACCTGCACTGCTTCAGAAAGCTCCATCGGCTAGTGCCAAATATTCAGAGTGGGCACGGAAGCCATGGTTCTGGGTGGTATCGGATTGAGTCCCGGCCCCAATATTTGACCATGTGGCCAAATGACTCTTCAGACAAGGACTGGAGAGGTCAATGGATTTGGGTTAGGGCACCCATAGATCCGGGCCACCCTTGTGTCTTCAGCGCTCCCCGGTACTTAGCTGAGCCTGATCCCGAAATGGGAAGTCTAGGTCCCCCCGCAGATAACGGGGCGGATCCGAACCTGGATCAGCAACATATCTTCGGCAAGCTGCCGAACCCGGGGGGAAGTGGTCGAATGCAGCATATCCCGGAGACTTGGCTCCCCGATACGCATTACGTTTTCCAAGAGAACATGCTAGCAGCTGTTGGCCTCAGCCGAAAGTTTAAGGATGGTAAGCTTCTTCGGCTGGGGCCGAGGCTTTTTAACTACCTCTTTTTCTTCTCTCGCTTTGCTTTTTTATGCTGTGCCAACATATCTGAGCTAAACTTTTTCCCTTTCCTTTTTTTCAGAGCGGGACGAGACCAACGTTGGTATTAACTACGCTCGTCTTGGTGTTAACCGAGAGCGAGTTGTAACTGAACGGGCCCCGTCTATCACTGAGCCGAGGCATAGGGAAGTTCATCTGGACTCTTCCCACTTCCAAATTGAGGCTGTTGCTCTGTATCAGAGGCAGAAGCCTTGGTGGAAGAAGAGAGACCCTTGGTTTCAGCTGCTGAACGAAGAAGCTGAAGCTGCCCGCACAGCCGAAGAGGTTGCACGGGTACTTGAGGCTTGTGAAGGAGGAGAAGGGTCCTCCAGAACTGCTGAAGCCGAAGCTGCAGCTAGAGCAGCTGAAGAAGACGAGGCTTTGCTGAAGACCTCGGTGAGCTTTCAGACAACTTTTTTCTTTTCTTCTTCTTCTTTTTTTTTTTTTTTTTTTTTTTTTTTTTTTTTTACTCACACTCTTCTTCCCCCCTGTCTGTTACAGTCTGAAGAGAGTAACAGACACAGAGAAGGCAAAGCTCCTGTTCGTCCCGAAGATCAAATACAAGAGTCTTCAGATTCAGATATGGACGAGCAGCCCCTTCTGAAAAGGCGCCGAAGGATGGCCATCATCGGCCCTCATGATTTTCAGCAGAGGCCGATGACCATCGGCGTCGCAATAAGGGAACCTGAGGAAGGCAATGGATCGCCGAGGGTTCCCCAGCCAACACCCCAATCTCCTCAAAAGACCCCTCCGCCACCTCCTGAGATGGAGGTGGATCAGAGAACTCCCGAACCTAAGGGAGGGGTCCAAGAAGAAATCAAGGAGAGTGCTGCTGAGCACGAAAATAAAGATGCCGTGATGTCAAGTGCTGAAGGCTTCACGGCAGATATCGCAAGAGAGGTTGAGGCTTTCGTCCTCACCCCTGAAGAAGAGGAGGTCATAGTACTTGACTCCTCTGAGAAGGACGATGCTGAGACAACCAAGGCCCATCAAGCTCCATCGTCGTCCTTCCCTTCTTTCCAGACTCTGCATTCTGGAGAAATGGGTTTCTCGGCCCCCCGAATTCCAGTCCCAGATCACATCTGGGACCTCATATGGGGTCAAAACCGAGAAGGAGCTGCAGCCTACTTCGGCAATTTTGCTGGCATGTCCGAAGTAGACAGGGCAAGGATCTGGTCGCTGAAGGCCACTGCTGGGATGGGCGAATCCAGTAGATCAGTTCCTGACCCAGCCAGGTCTAACCAACTGCTGATGATGCAGGTAATTTTCCTTCATTTCCTCCGAAATTCAGCTCTATTTTTTTTTTTCTTATTACTTATTTTTTTTTTTGTCTTCCTGTTTTCAGTTCGTGCACAATCAGACTCTCACTGTAGAGCTGATTGATACCCTACAAGATAGGGTAGACGCTGCTGTGCACGAAAGGAAGGTGGCTGAAGAGGAAGTTAAGCTTGCTAAGCTGAAGCAAGCAGCAGCTGAAGAGAAGCAGCAGGAGGTTGAGGAGTACGGTAAAAAAGCTGCCGAAACTCTGAAAACCTTCTGCGATGCTATGGAGATGGAGGTTTTTCCCCCACTGATGGAAGGGGAAAAATTCCTCCAGGAGCATATGGGAGTGGACGTCTCCAAATTCAAGGCTGCTATTGAGAGCCGAATTCAAGAAGGAACTGCTGCACAAGCTGAAGTGCAGCAGCGTCTAGAGGCTCTTGAAGCCAGCCGAATGGCTGCTGAAGAGTTGCTCCTGGCCAAAGACGTCCAACTCTCAGAGGCTGCTGCTGCTGCTGAAGCCCAAAGAGCTAAATTCCAAGAGGCTGAGGATCAACTGCTGATCCAGAAAGTTGAAGTGGCCCAAGCTCAGACAAAGGCTTTCCAAATTCAGCAAGAGCTGAATGAGCTGAAGGGTTCCTCCTCCAAAGTCGCTGATGAGCTGAAGAAATCCAAGGAAGACTTGGAGGAGACCCAGAAGAAGCTGGCTGATGCTGAGGCTTCACTCAAGGTCCGTGTTTATACCCAAGAGGAATATGAGATGGGTTTCAGAAACGGATTCCGAGTATGCCGAAGAGTCTGCCTTCATGCTGAGCCGAAACTGGACTGGTCTAAATGTGCTGAGTGGGTCCAGAATCCCGAAGACCCTCACATGAAGTATGCAACTCCAGCTGAAGCTGAAATTCTTAAGGCTGAGGAAGCCGAAGAGGAAGCTGAAAGACTGGAGTTGGAAGCTGAGCAGAGGGAAAGGGAGGCTCGGCAAAGTGCAAAGCCCGCCTCTTCTGCTGCTGGGGCTGAGGCCACCATGGGACTCAACGCTGATCAGTCTGATCCGCCGGCTGAAGCATAGGAACTCGGGCAGTCGTCTTCAGAATCTTGCGGTTCATCATGTGCTTAACTTTAGACTTGCCGCTTTCTGAGTTTTTTGCCTTGTTTTTTGCTTCAGCTTGCCTTGTCGTACAGCAGTTTTATTTTTTTTGCTTATGTACGTATTTCGGCAGCTGTTATTTTCCGCTTGTGGGCGGCTGCCGATACTGAATTATTGAACTTGTAGCTCAATATTTTTTTTCTTCAGTTGCTTTATTTTTGAATGCTTTACTGTTTCTTTTCTTCAACTCTGCCGAACATAGCTGCACTGCGTGCTTCTTGCCCCCACAGAAATTGAAGTATGACTTTAGTTGAATAAGCAATTTCTGAACTTCTTCAAAATTGATATCCGAAACACAGGGCCAACTGAAGGCAATGCTTCTGGGATACAAGTCTTACTGAAGACTGTCTGAAAGTTGGATATCCGAAACACAGGGCCAACTGAAGGCAATGCTTCTGGGATACAAGTCTTACTGAAGATTGACTGTCTGAAAGTTGGATATCCGAAACACAGGGCCAACTGAAGGCAATGCTTGGGATATTAGCTTTCTGGGACTAACCTCTTTAGAACAAGTCTTACTGAAATTTGACTTCAGCTGAAAGACCAGCGTTCTTAAAGAAGACGCATATCCGAAACACAGGGCCAACTTAAGGCAATGTTTCGGATAATGGCTCTCTGGGATACAAGGCTCAGTTAAGGCAATATCCCAGGATTGTCCATGGACTCATGTCTTTGGAGAACAGGTCTTACTGATGTTTGATTTCAGCTGAAAGACCAGTGTTCTTTAAAAAGACTGAGTTTTGTAAGCCATCTGAAACCCAGTTACCCGAAGGCGAAGGTTTCAGACGAGGCTGATTTAAAAAGGCTGTTATCCTTGATTTTCTGTCTATCTTTGAAAAATGGATACCCGAAACACAGGGCCAACTTAAGGCAATGTTTCGGATAATGGCTCTCTGGGATACAAGGCTCAGTTAAGGCAATATCCCAGAATTGTCCATGGACTCATGTCTTTGGAGAACAAGTCTTACTGAAGTTTGACTTCAGCTGAAAGACCAGTGTTCTTTAAAAAGACATGAGTTTTGTAAGCCATCTGAAACCCAGTTACCCGAAGGCGAAGGTTTCAAACGAGGCTGATTTAAAAATTTTCAACTGTTGCTGTTATCCTTGATTTTCTGGCTATCTTTGAAAAATGGATACCCGAAACACAGGGCCAACTTAAGGCAATGTTTCGGATAATGGCTCTCTGGGATACAAGGCTCAGTTAAGGCAATATCCCAGAATTGTCCATGGACTCATGTCTTTGGAGAACAAGTCTTACTGAAGTTTGACTTCAGCTGAAAGACCGGTGTTCTTTAAAAAGACAGGTTTTGTCAGCAATCTGAAACCCAGTTACCCGAAGGCGAAGGCTTCAGACGAGGCTGAATAAAAAACCCTCAAAGAGTAGATAGAACAAAGAAAATTTTGAAAGGATAAACGGTTGTAAATTTTATATAAAATGGCGGCTCCAAGGCCTGTCATTAGTTCAAAATGTACTTACAAAGATTGTTCTGCCCCGAAGGGTTTACACATGGTATTTTTTCAGTACATCAGCATTCCAGTGATTCTTCAACTCAGTTCCATCCAACTGCCGAAGTCGGTATGTCCCTGGCTGAAGCTCATCATAAATTTCATAAGGTCCCTCCCATGTAGCTGAGAGCTTCCCATGGATTCGGCCTTTCTGAACTGCAGCAGCATTCCGAAGGACAAGATCCCCAATTTTGAGAGGCCTTGCATGGACCCTTCGGTTATGGGAGATGAGGTCTGAACTTATCCCTGGCATATCAGCTGCCGAGAAAGCAAACACATCTCTGTTATCCCGCAGGAGCTGAATAAGTTCACAACGGGTGTTAGGATCAAGGTCCATCCCGATTGTTACACATTTCTCAGCATCTCCTTCGGCCAACTCTGCTGTTTCAGTCTGTTGGTCCATGTCCATTGCCGATGGACTGGACTCTTCAGAATCTGGTCTGCTGCCAATGTCAGCAGGTGTCCCAGTCTTTGTGTTCTTCGGCTGGCTTTCTGAGTCTTTCGGCTCAGATGAAGAGTCAACCTTTTCCCTTTCGGGACCTTTTTCTCTGGGCACTGATCCTTGGGCCGAAGCACTTAGGCCTTTCGGCTTTTTTGTGCTTGGCTCTCTTTCTTTTTCTTTCTCCTCCTCATCCTTGTCGTTATCTGGGCGACTACTGGATGGCTTGAGGTAGTTGCACCTTCGGGCGTCCTTCTGGTTGCCCTGTATCCTTTCGGGGAAGCCGGCGTCTGAGACGTAAATCATCAGCTGATGATAAGTTGAGACGACCCCTTGGATCTCGTGAATTATGGGTCTCCCCAAAATCACGTTGTACACTGAAGGAGCGTCGATGACCAAAAACTCAATCATGACGTTCCGGGCTGCCTCATCGCAACCGATGGTGACAGGAAGTGTCACCTTCCCATCTGGATAAGTTGAAGCCCCATTGAACCCGGATACCGGATAGGGTACCGGCGTAAGGTGCTTGGGCTTCAGCTTAATTTGGTTGTAGGCCTTTCGGAACAGAATGTTTGCTCCGCTGCCACCGTCAACAAGGACCTTACTGACGTCGTGGTTGGCCACCGTGGCGATGATCACCAACGGATCCTCGTGAGGGAACGTAATCCCCCGGCAGTCGGCGGCTGTGAACGTCATGTTCGGCACCGGCGACTGGGGAGATTGAATGTCAGCGTTGTTCACCTGGTGAGTCAAAGCTCTAAGGTGACGCTTGTGCTCCCTCCGAGAGTATATTCCTCCCGAGATAACATTGATCGGAGGGAATTTCCCCTCCGGTTTTTTACTGTTTTTCCGAGGGAAATCAAGGTCCTGCCGAGGGTCCTTTGCTAACCTTTCGGATTCTTTTTTCTCGCGGTGATCCGCGATGTATTTTTTCAAGTATCCCTTCCGGACCATGTCTTCTATCTGGTCCTTCAGCTGGATACACTCTTCAGTGTTGTGGCCCGAAGACTCGTGGAACTCACACCACTGATTTTTATTTTTTCGCTGATACCACTCTGGGAGTGGTCTCGGCTTTCGGTAACTCTGCTCCTCCTTCGTCACACTGTAAATTTTGGCGCGTGGAAGAGAGAGCGGAGTGTAGGACTCGTATCTGCCTGTGTATGAGGCAAACCTGTCCTTCTTTAGGTCGCTGGCCGAAGATGGCTCCGAGGCCTTTGATTTTCCCTTTGCCTTATGGCCTTGGCCTTCAGACAAGGGTATTTGCCTCTGTTTCCCTCCCCCGGATTGAGGTTGGGTTTTTGCTTTATTCCATTCTTCGGCTCGGATGAACTTATCCGAAGCACTAAGAGCTTCCTCCAAGGTCTGCGGGGTATGCATGACCATGAAGTCTAGGAATTTTCCTGGCTGAAGGCCATTCTGCATTGCAAAAACAGCTAGCCCCTGGTCCAGCTGAGAGACGCTTGATGACTCGTTACTGAAACGGGTCAGGTAGTCTCGGAGGCTTTCAGTTTCCCCCTGTTGCAGACCCATGAGCTCTGCGGTAGTCTTCTCTCGGCGGTTTGCCGTGGAAAACTTGCTCCTGAACTTGGAGGACAGATCATCCCAACCTGTTATGGAGCCTTGCCTTACTCCCTTGGAGATCCACGCTTGCGCGACCCCCTTGAGAGTGGTTGGGAAATATTTGCACCAAGTTGCCTCGGATCTGGGGCAAAGATGCATATGAGTCTCATACGAGGCCACGTGGTCCTTCGGATCCGTGGTCCCGTCATATGTGATATGCGACGGTATTTTAACCGTGGGTACGCGCTCTTCCAGTATCCATTGCTCGAATGGTGAACTAGCGGGAAGCATAATGGCCTTGCCCTTGTTCCTGGCCGAAGGGACCGCGCTCCGCCCTCTTAGAGAGGTAGGAGTGGTTTTCGTCCCTGGCTGGGAAGTCTGGGCCTCGGCTGCTGGGAACGTGAGGCGACTACGCACGCTCGGTTCCTGGCCGCCGAGTCGGTCAAGGACGCTTCTGCGAGCAGTCTCAGGTTCCCGGCGAGTAGATTCTGGCCGAGAAGCTGAGCTGCTGCTCTTATGCGCTGCTGGTCTTGAGGATGAGGATCCTTTAAATAATTGAGAGTTCTTCTTCCTCTGTTTTTCATTTTTCCAAGAATCCTCCTCCCACTCTTCCAGTTCCCGGAAGGAAGGAAGCTTCCCACCGTCATGGTCTAACTTCCTCCGCTGATGCCGGGTATGCGGAGGAGTTCGATCACGAGGCGGTGGCATATTCTGTGCCCTCATTGCCTCCATGAGTACTGCCAGCGCTCTTGCCACCTCTTCCGAACTGGGCCCCGTCAAAGGGGTCCCCGGCCGAGTGTGTGCATGAGGCCGTGCAGCCGATGGTTGGCTTCGGGACACCGAATATGTCCTATGATCAGACTGACCCCTGCTAGACCGAGAGTGGTCAGGCCTATATTGGGAGTCATGCATTATAGGAGATAGGGAATCCTCCTTGTGTGATCCTCCCCCGAGCCGGCACCCTTGGGAGAGTTCCGGTCCGGCGAGGGCGATGGTGTAGGGGTTTTAGGCTTTTCGCCCGCTCCTTGACGGAGGCTTTTGCTCTTGCGGTTCTTAGCCATGGCTGCTAAGATAATTGCAAGATGATCTTGGTTAGGAATTTGGCTTAAAGATTTTTGAAAGTCTTCCCCACAGACGGCGCCAAATTGTTTCGGTTGAAAACAATGGGACCTTGCCGAAGGTCCACTGAAATGGAGAAGACTGGATTCGATCCAAGCTGTGTTGGGCCGAAGGTTTCCTGCACAGTGAACACACGTAAACTAGCCTCGGGGGTGTTTCCGAGGAAGGCCCCTCCGATGCTAAAGTCAGTACAATGTGTAAAAAGGAAGACACTATGCAAGAGAGTTTGTAGCTTGAGGCTTTTGTGGAGTATTTCTCAATGCAAGAATGAGCATATGAGTTGGAATAATCGGTGTATGAGATAATGCATGTGATGTTGTGTCTGATCTCGTATATCATGTTGAATGTGTTAATATGAGGGCTTTTATACCTCATCATACTTGGAGAGGTTGGGCTTTAGCCCAATTGGCTTACTTTGTGGCCTGACTTTTGACTTTTGAGCAATTGGAGAGTTGAACCTTGACCTTGGGCTTTTAATTGGATCATTTAGTGCTCAGGCCCAATTTTGACTAAATTGGACCCAAACACATGGTAATTACCCTCTCATCTTCCCCGCCAATACCCTCTTTCTGTGGCATCAAAACCCTTTTCAGTTCCAACCCTAAATCACTCTCCAAACCCAGAACCCGATTAGCCTTTCTCAAACCCAAACAAGATAAAGGGTTGAACTTGCGGAGAATTCATAACAATAATACTAATTTTGGCAGAGAATCAAGGAATTACAGGTGTAATTTATCTGGGTTTGATTTGGGTGGCCTGGAAGGTCCTCAATCAGTAATTGAAGCAGCTGGTGTTCTTACTGCAATCATAGTTGTTCATGAAAGTGGTCATTTTTTGGCAGCCTATCTTCAGGGAATTCATGTAAGTAAATTTGCAGTTGGGTTTGGTCCAATTTTAGCTAAATTTAATGCTAATAACGTAGAATACTCTCTTAGAGCTTTTCCTCTTGGTGGTTTTGTGGGTTTTCCTGATAATGATCCTGACAGTGATATACCTGTTGATGATGTTAATTTGCTGAAAAACAGACCCATTTTTGATCGGGTTTTAGTGGTTTCTGCTGGTGTTATTGCCAACATTTTGTTTGCTTTTATCATCATTTTTGTGCAAATTGTGTCTGTTGGTTTGCCTGTTCAAGAAGCCTTTCCTGGTGTACTTGTTCCTGATGTACGCCCTTTTTCGGCAGCTTCTCGAGACGGGTTGCTGCCCGGAGATGTTATCCTGTCTGTTAATGGCTTCGAATTGTCGAAAACCGGCCCTAAGACTGTTACTGAAGTTGTTGATGTTATTAAGACTAGTCCTAAGAAGTATGTTCTGCTTGGAATTCATAGAGGAGGAGCTGAACAAGGACAGGATCTTGATATTAAGGTGACACCTGATGAAAGTTATGATGGAACTGGTAAAATTGGAGTTCAGCTATCTCCTAATGTCAGTATTAGAAAGGTTAAGCCTAGTAATATTGTTCAGGCTTTCAATTTCACTGGAAAAGAGTTTTGGGGTCTAACCTCAAATGTGTTGGATAGTTTAAAACAGACATTCATGAACTTTTCGCAATCAGCTGAAAAAGTTTCAGGTCCGGTTGCTATAATCGCAGTTGGAGCAGAAGTAGCAAGGTCCAACATTGATGGACTTTACCAATTCGCGGCAATTTTGAACATAAATCTGGCAGTGATAAATCTGCTGCCACTGCCAGCATTAGATGGGGGTACATTGGCATTGATACTGATAGAGGCAGCCAGAGGAGGAAAGAAGCTCCCTTTGGAAGTGGAGCAGCAGATTATGTCTTCAGGTATAACATTAGTCTTATTGCTTGGGGTGTATCTTATAATCCGAGACACTCTAAACCTTGATTTTTTCAAAGAAATGTTGTGATGGAATGTTAATAACCCCAAATTCAGCTGTTTGATTCACTCATAGTGCAGTGACTATTGTGATTGTCATCCAACAGACCAACACTATGAGTAGTATCTCATTGATTAGATATCGGGCCTGTGATTACATTAAAAAGGTAACAACGGTTCCACGAGAATGTTTATCATCATCACAGCACTCAAGATTGATTATGAGTCACTCTGTAAGCAATGAAGAGTTATGGCCTTGAATATCCCCTGTTTATTTTTACAATAGAGAACATGAGTTCCTTGTTTAACAACTCCCAATTCTATACTGTGTTGTTACTGTCATACCAATTTGTATCTAGCAAATTAGAATATTTTTAAAAGTTATTCATACTTCTGTAGTGGGAGGTCATATAGCTTGAACAGGTCAGGCCATGCAGCCATCATAAATTTATATTTAAAGACTTGATATATGGTAGTCATTGATGTTTTTGTTGCTGCTGACTTATGTCTCTTACTTATCCTTGTTGATTAATATTGTTGTTAAATAAATGAGTGCGTTGACATTTACATACCTAATGTAGCAACTATTATTACAAAAGAGTATTGATCCATGACAGTGAGTTACTGAGTACTTTCATCAGAAAATTTGAAAATAGCATACTAGTAATACAGTATAATTTTGATAGTATTGGATAAAATCATGTAAAATTAAATAGCTCTTCATCCTTGAACCGTTAAACCCCTTTACTCTCTGTGATGAAGCGCTATTTACTGTTAGTTCTTAGTCTTCTTACTCAGACCGCATTTTCGAATGCGTTTTTTGCCCTTAGCATTATTATAATTTTGATAGTATTGGATAAAAATCATGTGAAATTAAATAGCTCTTGATCCTTCATCACTATTACTAGTGAAGTGGAGTTCTTGATCCTTAACGCTTTGTTTGGATAGCAAAGAAGGAAGGAAAAGAAGGGGAGGAAAAATGGAGGAATGGAAGGGAAAAGAAAGGGAGGGGAGGTGAGCTCCAACTTCCCTCCAAATCTCTCCAATTTTGGAGAGATTATGGTTATTATAGAGAAAGGGAAAATGGATCCCTCCCTCTCCTTCCTTCCCCCAATCTTTTACCCAAACAAGAGATTTTGTCCTCTTCCATTTCTCTTCTCTTCTTTTCCTTCCATTTCTTCCTATCCAAACAAAGTGTAAGTCTTATTCAATTTGCACTGTCTAATGCGTTTTTTGCCTTTCTCCCTGATTCTCTTCTTCCTCTCTCTCATATCTTTTCTCCCAGCCACCACACCACACCACTCCACTTTTACACATGGAGAATGTGGACGACTACAAAATTTTAATGGACTCGGATAAATACAATAATTTTGAAAATTACAAATAATACGTCAGTACCAGGCAGTACAACTCATATTTTCTGTTTGTGGAAGCTAATATCTCTTACTATTTTGGTGAGTACTTCCCACGCCACATCAATTTTGTGGAAGCTCCCTAAATAAATTATCCATTTTCTATAAATTTACAAGTAAAAGGATACCGAGATAAACTACAAATAAATATAATTACAAATAATACCTTTTGTTGGAACTAAATAAAAGCGGATGTAGTAGATTTTTCTAAATTTTTATATATCAACCCACATCGCGCCACTCACCTCCATCCACTCATATCTTTCAGCTCTGTCTCTGATCTCTGTTACTATTTGTTCTATCTTTCAAGACCAACCAACAATCACCCAATTACCAAAAAACATGGCCTTTTCAATAAAGGGACTAGAACTCCAAAAATTCTGAACCCCTTCTTCCATTTCCCACAAAACAAACAGAACATAAGAGTCTCATCAATGAGAACAACGTAAAAGGAGCTTAATACGGAGTATCATTTAAGGGATGCTTGATTAGTGTTTTAGAATTGGTGTGAATCTAATACTGTTTCATTTTTTGGTGTTTAAATTGAAAAAAGCAATTAAGCAATAGATAACCGATAGTTTTACTTGAAGGGGGTCCTAGTAAACTTTTAGTTGAAAGCCAAATGTAAAAAAGTCTAATTGAATTTGTGATAATTGAGACATAATCTTAAAGTAGTACTTGGAATCTCATTATAGAAAAGATGATCTAACAACATAATTGATACGTAGTTGAAATCATAATCCTATTAGACCGACCGTACGAAAATGAAGATATTAGTGGGGACATAAACATCGTGAGGTGCATCTTTAGTGACCCCCAACATGAGCATCACCACCGTCCATTAAATATCTTGAGATGAAGGCGAGACTTTGATGGACGGTAGTGATGTATTGGATCAAAATGTTTGATGAGAAATTGAAGAGCAGAGCAGTTGCAGGGCACCAGCTCATACTACTAGCTTGATTCACTCAAAAACATAAATGGCCTTTTTAATGTGTTCGCTACAAACTTAACATCACACCATCATATCATGTCAATTTCACGCGTTACGTTGCTATCCTCATACCCACAATTACAATTCCAATTCATTTTCTGTTTCTATTTCTATATACGCTAACTTTTTAATAATCAACAATGTTGGTTGATTGAGCTCAATATGTGGATACATTGAGTTCTAGGTTTCGCATTGAGCTAGTTGTCGAATCTTATTATATTACCAAGTACGAAGTCATACAAAATATAATTACAATGTTGTGTATATATTGATGTGGTCAGTACATTCATATGTATTAAGAAAAATTTATGACACGGTAATATATAGAAATTTATTAAGAAACAATTATAAAATATAATAGAAATAGAGTAAAAGACATATATTCACCCAAAAAAATTGTTTGGCCGGTATAAATGAATATCAATACATTAATCCTTGAATATTTGAATTTGATCTAATGACTTGACATGTGCAGGCAATGCAGTAATGCACCGCTAGTTAGCATGTTCAAACATAAACAACTAATAACTCCAGTATTATTATGAAGAACAAAAACAAACAAAAAATAAGTTAAAAGAGAAGAGGTCGGTTTAATACTCGGTTGTAAGATTGGACAAAATGAGATGTACATAAAGTTAAGCATCAAAATCAAAGATTGAAGATTGAAAGGGCGTCGGTTTTTTGCCTTTTTGGTGGGTTGTTGTCAAGTAAAGCACAGTACTCCAGCTGTTAGCTAAGTGCACTACTCCCTAACTTGGTACGAGTAGAAGATTGCATGTCCAACTTTGACTGAATCTTTGAATCATCACTAATCACTAGACTTTAGACTATAAATCTTTGTTTGTCTACCAATAAGTCAACACCGTCTTACAACAATAATATCCAACAACCACATCATCAATTTCTCCGATGTTCCCACCTCAAAGCCACCAATAATACTGCCTTTAAAACACTTTACCTGTTGGAACTAGAAAAAGTGATAACAAAAAACATTCAAATTTAAGATTCAATAAGTGTATTATTTTTTTAAAAAAAAAAAAACACAATTGAATGTTATTTTGATTATGAACAAATTTTAAAATTAAAAGGACTTCATAATTTGGATTGTGAATAATTGTGATAATACCTCTATTTCTTCTTAGGTTTTGGAAGAAGGCTAAAAATAAAGAATAAATGAACAAACCAAATGATGATTTGAATTGTTGTATCATGAAAATTTGAGAACATTGCCTTCAAATGGATATTTTGGTGTAATCATGGTGCTAAATTCTATTAATACAAGAGATATTCATTCCCTAATGTACACATTGCTTACGCTAATACACTTATTTTTTGCCATTTCTACTTTGATACATAGACTATTTTAAGTTTATGTAGCTTTACTAAACCTAGTTATAGTTTGACATCCCTTTTGTTTTGTCATTAGATATGAACTCCATTTACCCAAATAAATAGATTATCCATCCTTCCATATTCCACATAGCAACACACACTGAGTTTGGAGCTAGATGGTTCTTGATTATGACTCACTATATATATGTTCATGCTTACACATTCTGTTGTTGGATTGTTCATACTTGATAGGTTAAGTTACTCCCTCAGTTCCAAAATGATGTTCTTGTTTTGAATCTTTGACTTTTTTAAGAAAGAGAGAATCTTCTAAATTTCTCTTAATCTATGAGAGCAAATGTAGTCATGTAGGATCTAGTTTGATTCGTCTTGGTGAGTAGATTATTAATATCTAACTTTTATAATTTTTGCTAGTGTGAGATTAAAGATATTTGCGTCAAAGATGAATAAAATTTTGCATCGATTTGCGAAACAGGAACATCATTATGAAACAAAGGGAGTAATTTTTAACGACTCCACACACATACATTCTCACACAAAGATGTTATAGGCGATATAGCGAGACTTCAAATGCCAAGCCAAACAAAACTTCTTCCCTCCTAATTCATTCCCAGATAATTGGTAAGATTTCAATTCATATTCAAAACAATTGAATGTTAAAATTGTATAGTAATCAAAAATCTACACAGGTGTCAAAAGCACACCCGACCCGACTCATTCCGAAAAATATCCGATTTAAATATGGACTCGCGTGGACATGACAATTTAGTATGACTTAACTTTAAAAATCGACCCAACCCGACCCGACCATATCATACCCGATCCGATCATTCGAATTCATACCCTTACCTATGCCTACATATTTGAGGTCCATTATTTGTTTATCATAGATCCATAAAATCTCAACTCTTCTTACTCTCCTAGACCAATTATTATGTGCACCATGGTACACCTAGAAATAGGTGCACCACGACTATACTTTTGAACATTTAGTATAAAAAATATAAACACGTCACAAAAATTGAACATAAACATGCAATTTTTATGTTCATATTTTATCAAGAAATGTTCATTTTGTATACATTAAATGTTCAGTTTATATACATTAAATGTTCAGTTTATATTACAAAACTATTGAATTATTACGAGTCAGTTCAAAATTAGTTTGACCCGTAATAATTCAAAAATCTGCAATTGTTCAGATTTTTTTTACTATATGTTTGAAATTTGTTATTGTTCATATTTTTTCTTACTAAAAGTTTAAAATTATAGGCGTGGTGCATTTGCGATTATTCAGATTTTTTTTACTAAATATTCAAATTTTGCGATGTTCAGATTGTTTTACTAAATGTTCAAAAGTATAGGCATAATGCATTGCAATTGTTCAGATTTTTTAACTAAATGTTCAAATTTTGCGATGTTTAGATGTTTTTACTACATGTTCAAAATTTGCAATTGTTCATATTTTTTACTAATTGTTCAAAAAATATAGGTGTGATGTATCTTAAAATTTGCCCTCCTAGACTCCAACCAAAAAAATTAAAAGCACAGCGGTTGTAATTGTATTGGGCCAAGGCCCATTCGTTAACTTGCAATAAAAAGGCCCAAACGTTGAAAAAATAAAAAATGTCACCCGCATTATAGGACCCTGAGGTTGCCGCACATCATTTTGCAGCAAATACTCTGTACTCGTATTATCTCTCGTCGTTCCACTTGAATCTTCAGCAGACCTCCATTACTCTCTGCTCTCTCTATCCAAATTCGTTTCTCAGGTAGCTTTTATTCGTCTAATTAACTGTTTTTTTTCTTCTTGTTTATTCGCTGTTTAATTCAATTCCTCTCTCATATTAGTTTTAAAACGATTAGGTTAACGGAGATACAAATTCAATTTGAACCTTATATTCATATTCAAATTCAAATTGTTGACAAGATTGATCGATTTTATTACATGTATTTTCTCTGAATTTTTTTGAAATTGGATGATTTTTTTTTTTTTTTTTTTTTTTTTTTGTTTTGTTAGGTTATTTTCCCATTTCCGGCAGATTAGGGTTTCAAGTTGTTATTACAGTATGATTTTGTGCCTTTTGTTGTTTGAATGTTTGATACTGGTATTGTATACAAGTAAACTAAGAGCTTTCCCATTGTTTATTTAGACTGTGATTGTGATTATGAGGGGAAGAAGTTACAGCCCTTCACCCCCTAGAGGTGGCTACTCCAGAAGAGGACACAGCCCCCCTCCTAGGGGTCGCTATTCTGGCCGCGGTAGAGATCCTTCTACTAGTTTATTAGTTCGGAATCTCCGCCACGATTGCAGGTTTTCTCGCCAACCAGTTATTTCTTCTTAATGCTTTTGCTTCCTACCGTTGTTGGTGCTGGATTAGATTTGCCTTTTACAGTTTCAACTTCTATGGACTGCTCACATTATTAAACTACCTGTTTCTTTTGTACTCGTATCATTTTATACCTTATATGTTCAATCGTTATTTTGATAAAACTTATGGTATATAGAAGGAGATTGTTGTTTAAAGTTGTTCTGATATTGCCGATTCTTGTAGTTGCTCACTACATTCTGGCTCCTTTGCAGACCAGAAGATCTCCGCAGGCCTTTTGGTCAGTTTGGTCCGCTCAAGGACATTTACTTGCCTAGGGATTATTACACCGGGTAAGTTCATAGCTACTCTTTTCACATAATAAACCCATTACAGCTCCTCAATGAGTACCTTTATGATAATGTTGGGGAGTGTTCTCATATGGAATCTGTGTGCTTGGTTAAACATATGGAGCAGTTCTGTTGGTGGATATTTTGTCTGTTCAACATTTAAGCCAGTTTAATAATATAATTTAGACTTACCTATGAAGTAGCTTAACAGAAGTTTTTTTTTTTTTTTTTTTTTTTACTGAATTAATATTTATCAATCGAGTGGGCTTTTGTACAGACCAAGGTAAATGATCATAAATTACACGGTTTTGAGTCCTGACTCTATTTGTTTCCCTTGTTTGGAATATATTGCTTTGGTTAAAAAGTGTGATTTTTTGAAGGTTCATACAATACAATTTAACCTAAACTGAATTGTAGCGATCTTTTATCCTTGAGCATGGATTCATTTTCCATGATGTATTTAATGCCCCCTGTTACATCGGTTAATTACAATTTTTTAGATTGAACAGTGAAATCAATGTTTATAGAGATCAATCGAGTAATAAGAGTACTGTGGAAGATGTTGTTAATGG